AGCCCACGGAGGGCTCCTGTTCCCCAGTTAAGCCCAGGGAGGGCTCCTGATTCCCCGTTTAGCCCAGGAAGGGCTCCTGATCCCCAGTTAAACCCAGGGAGGGCTCCTGATTCCTCGTTTAGCCCAGGACGGGCTCCGGATCCCCAGTTAAGCCCAGGGAGGGCTCCTGTCCCCGAGTTTAGCCCAGGGAGGGCTCCTATCCCCCCGAGTTTAGCCCAGGGAGGGCTCCTGTCCCCGAGTTTAGCCCAGGGAGGGCTCCTGTTACCTTGTATTGCCTTAAAGTTACATCGTGGTTGTTGTCTCCCTCTGTTTCCAAGTGTTTTGTTCTTGTTTTGATAATTAAAGACTCCGTCGTCGATTACTTCCTCTCCGTGTGCTTCCTCCGCACCACGACCCGTGACACATGCAATCATTAACTGACATAAGAGAATAATAATAAAAAATAAAAAAAGAATACAAATAATTTATTTGCTTACCTGCATGTCATGTGACCGTTAACTGACACGAGAACCATGAACATGCACATTTGTTGTTAAATTATTAAAATATAAACTTAAAATATTAAGTCTGTTAGCTTGAACTTGGCTGACAAAAAAGGTTTGTGAATCACTGATCTAGCATCTGGCATGGTCAAATCTTTCTGTCTGTTCACAGATGGATGGGAGAAATCCAATTTCCAGTTTCTGGATCTCAAAGCCTCGAGATCGAACTCCACGGAGAATCCCGCCGGCGATCAGACCATGATGAGAAACTGCTCCTCTGATTCATACGACGGCGAGGAGCTGCTGCTGAGGCGCAGAGGTCTGGTCTGGTCTGGAGGTTCGGTCGAGCCTTCGCCAGACAGTAGGTCTCAGAACAGTTCTCCGGAGCACAGGAGGAGTCAGGAGAGGCGGCCCGGGAGAGCCAGGAGAGCCCTGAACCGCTCCTGCTCCGTCCCAGACTCCAACAACCCTCCGGCGCTCTGTCCTCCGTCCCACGCGCCCATCAGCATGATGATGACCGACCTGTCCGAGATCACGGAGGAGGAGAGCTGGAGCGGGACACTGCGGCGGCCCAAACCCAGGGGTTCAGACTCGGAGGGAGAGGAAGAACCCGACGCATGCGATACGGTTCACACTGAAGATGCAGATGCTCGGAGCCCCGCGTCATCGGAAGACGGAGGAACTCAGACAGACGCTGAAGTGCGCAGCTCCAACCTCGGCAACAAAACTGTGCTGTGCCTGAATGAGGAATCTCAGAATCAGGTGCGTTTGTTGATGCAAAACAATCCAAATGTGACTTTTTTGTTAATTTAAGGCGAGGCACTTCCGTTAAAGCCATTGTTTTTTTCATGCAGTTTTTACATTTTGGGCTATTTCGCTTCCATAACATGCCTTCTGTGTATTGAGCCTAATTTCCGTCATGCGATAAAAAATAAGGTAATTGGGACTTTTTTATCTCACAGTTTTGAATTTATATCTCACACTTTTTACTTTTTTTCTCAGAATTTTGCATCCAATTTCTCACATTTTGATTTTTTTCATGCAATTCTGAGCTTATTTCTCATAATTAGATTTTTTCTGCAATTCTGAGTTTTTCCTCACAATTTGAATTTATTTTCAATTCTGAGTTTATTTTTCACAATTTGAATTTTTTTCAATACTGAGTTTATTTCTCACAATTTGAATTTATTTTCAATTCTGAGTTTATTTCTCATAATTGAGAGATACAAAACTCTCAATTATGAGAAAAAAAGTCAGAATTGTGAGATATAAACTCAGAATTGAGTACAAAAGACTCAAAAATGCGAGATATAAAGTCAGAATTCTGAGAAGAAATTGTGAGAAAAAAATTTCCCAAATGTCTTTTTTACAATTTTTATTCCATGATGGTAACTAAAAAACTGAATTGCAAGATGTAAACTAAGAAATCAGAGAAAAAAGTCAGAATTGTGAGATAAAAAGTTGCAATTACTTTTTTATTCTGTGGTGGAAATACTCTTCCATATCTTTCAGACTAGTGAAATAAAACATCCAAAATAAAAAATGTAAGTGTTTATTTTATTGCACTTTATCTATTTGCATCTGTAGATTTCAGTTTTATTACATATATTTAAAGACGGTGAGTTTTTTCTCCACTCCAGTAACACTTACACACCAAACTTTACAGGTTTATTTCTATTTATATTCTGAAGGTTTTTACTGAGGGATTTGCTCATATAACATTCACCTGATTTATATTTAACATTTTATTCCTCAAATATGGTGAAAATTTGTGTTTTTTTTTTTTACCCTATATTGTATATTGTAGTGTCCTGCCTTAAACCTGGAACTAAATGAAGCACTTATGTTGATGTAAAATTAATAACGTGTTGTTTTCTTTGTCTTTTTCTCAGTGGATCTCTTTGCGGGAGCTGCTCTCATGCTCTGCTCAGCCGTTCTCAGTCAATGAGCTCTGGGCTTTATGCTACACGTGTCTCTCCACGCTACAGACCTACATCGACCTCCCAGGTCAGTCGTGCACATCAAAGATACTTTGCTTTGTCTTTATTTAGGTATTATGTTCATAGTAACTTGATATTGAAGGGATAGTCCACCCAAAAATGAAATTTATGTCATTTATTCACGCACTCATGTTGTTCTAAACCTTTATGAATTCCTTTCTTCTGTTGAACACAAAAGAAGATGTTTTGAAGAATGTTGGTAACCAAACAGTTGACGGTAGCCATTGACTTCCATTGTATTTGTTTTTTCCATACTATGGGAGTCGGTGGGGCACAGGAGGAGTTGATGATGTTTCATTTAAAAGTAGAGTTGCAATTTTTTATTTTATTTTATTATTATTATTACTTTTTTTTTTTTTAGGATTTTTTGGAAAGTTTCCAGAAATTCCCCAAAATTTCAAAAAAATGTCAGATGGTTTCCAAAAATTCTGGAAATGTTCCGAAAATTTTCCAAAAGGTTTCCGCCTCTCTGCAACTCTATTTAAAACTCTTTTAAATAACCTTTTCTAATACTTGTATGATTTTTTTATGCAGGGACCTGATAGAATATCTGTAGTTTTGAAAATTCATTTCTCACACTGAAGAAGTAAAGTGAACATCAAAAAACTTAAAACATGATCAAAAATGAAAAAAAAAAAAAAAATAATAATAAATTAGTGAAAATAATATACAAAACAATTAATACATACTTCCAGTCAAAAGTTTGGAATAATTAAGATTTTTGAAATAAGTTTCTTCGGCTCACCAAGGCTGCATTTAACTTGGGAAAAAATACAGTAAAAATTGTGAAATATTATTAGAATTTAAAATAGCTGTTTTCTATGTGAATATCTGTTAAAATGTAATTTATTGCTGTAAACAAAGCTGAATTGTTCCTTATCGAAATCATTCTAATATGCTAATTTTTAAAAGTGACTTGACATCCCTATAAATGTTAACCTAAAATCTTGAATGTTGAATCAGGAAATGTCTATTATTTGCCAACTACCCACGTTCAGATAGTTAGAGAGTGTTACCAACCATCTCCTATTTAACACAAACTAATACCAGTATTTATTTAACAGCTGTTTTGCTCCACGTTTACATGACCTCTGTGATCTGTGGCTCCTGTTTGAGAAAAATAACTGTGCTGTGTTACGTTAGACTACCTGTGTCTGGACTCTGTGTATGTGGGCTGCGAAGGAGAGATGCTGTTGCTGAGACCTAAAAACTCAGGTACGAGAACTACAGAACATCTCATTACCATCACAACTCATAACAGCTGTCAATGAAGAGTCGATATTAAATCAGAATGAGCTTTACATGTAGAATAACTCACACTTTAGAACAACACTCACATGTTCTCAAGTGAATGCAATTATTATAATTGTTATTAGTTCATTGATTTTGTTCCTGTTGTCCTTCTCAGCCTCCTGTGATGCATTTTTTCTGGCTCCTGAGTTTCAAGAACATGGAATTGTGACAGAAAAGGTTTGTCGCTGTCTAGTGACACAGTGTGATCTGTTTAAATGAATGTGGTTTACAGTGTGCTTTTGCTCATCTCTAGGCGTGTGTGTATGGGGTAGCAGCTGTTCTCTGGGCTACAGCCAAGTTTAATTTGTCTCCCAATCAAAAGCTGGCCATGCCGAGAAAACTCAAGAGGCTTCTGCTTGAGATGGCCAAAAGAACTCCAATCGAAAGACCTTCTATTGAAATGGCGAAAAAGGTACTTGCGAATCATTTAATCATTTAAAACTTACATGCTGGAGTCATATTTCACTCTAAAATATAGGATAAGATTATATGAGAGTATTATATTTATTCTAAAAAAAA